GTGGTCCCGAACCAAAACTTGGTCCTTCAATTCCACATTAAAAGAACCATCTTGGTTATCCCATTTTTCAGCCACTGTTTTTTCACAGACCTTGAGTTTCTCCTCTGGTCGGCCACTGTTTGATGAATTCCCTTTTTCTGATCCGGAACTTGCTTGTATATTAACCATTGTTGTGGTTACTTCTGGAAATGGCTGTTGCTCTACTCCCAAAGTAATATACTTGAGCCGACCTGCCTTAATAGCCTTTTGGATCTCATTTCGAAAATGAGCGCATTGACTTGTATTATGTGTGAAGGAGTTGTGCCACTTACAGTATGGTCTCCCTTTGATTTCTTCCTTAGTAGCCAACCTCTGCCCCTTTGGAATTCGGATTTGACCATCAGTTAGCAGAATATCAAATATCTCATCGGCCTTTGAATTGTCAAAGGTCGGTTGCCCTTTAGCTTCAGTTCCTGGTGCTGGCTTTAACTTAGAGCATACATAAGGCTTCCCTGAAATTATTTCGGCCGCTATCTCTTCTGTTTGATCATAATCAAAGTCATATGCCTCTGTTTCCATACTTGCCATATGCTGAACTTTATTGCGCCTGAAATTCTGATCCCTTTCCCTGAAAAGAGACTCTAAACGTCCAGCCTTGGATGCAAGACTTGCTAAATCCTCGACATCATGTGCAGTGAGCGCATCTCTTAGGCGACCATGCATATTTCGGACCACTAAATTGGTCATCTCTTTTTCATTGATTATTGTAGGACATCGTCATTTCATCAATCGCACCCTTTCAATAAACTGTGAGGCTGATTCTTCTGGATATTTTTTTATTTCCAATAAATCAGTCAAAGAAACCGTTGGCAAGGGATTGAAAAATCTAGCATGAAATGCCATCTTTAAAGCTTCCCAAGTTTGTATTTGCCCAGGTGGCAGACTTACAAACCATGAAAAAGTTGTCCTAGTTAGAGACAACCCAAACAGTTGTAATTTGTAAAAAGGATTGTTACCAATTTCCCCTAACTGTGCTGTGAAACGCCCCACATGCTCTATAGTAGAGGATCCATCCTCTCCAAAAAAAGCATGAAAATATGGTGGCCTGTAATTCCTTGGGAGAGGATATTCATTAATAATCCTTTCTGGAAAAGGTCTTTGATAAGCAGGTCGGTTGGCCATCTGAGGATTTAGGCCAAACTGAACCCTCAATACGTGAGCAATTTCATCACCCAAACGAAAATGTTGATGATTAGGAATATCAATGGGATTTTCCACAGGAATAAGAATAGGATCTTGAACATGTCCCCCTGGCCTTTCCTCCCTTGTAATGTTTGGCTGCACATTCTCAACCCTTGGCCCCAAAGGAATATTATTTGGGAAAGTCAGAGGAGTCTTTCTCCTATCTGTTCGGTTGAAGGTTGTGGCGCTTGGAAGTGTGCTGTCCACATATGATGGCCCTGCAAAATTTGCTTGCATTCTTGATGGTGACACCCCTGGCGGTGTCTGGGTGGGTTGAAGAGTGACCCTTGACAATGCTTGATCTAACATATTTTGCATAAGGTTTTGTTGCTCACGCAATATGTTTTGCATAGCCAGATTATGCTGATTGTTCAATTGTTGAACATAAGACATCCAATCGGTAGGTGGTTGGGGAATCTCCCCTGGATTTGGCATGACAGGTGGTGAAATATTTTCTCCCACCGGTGCTAATGATGATTGAGGTTGTGAGCCTGCCATACTGATTTTTCTGATAATTCGTCTGGACCTCAATCGTATAAAATTTTCTGTTGATGTAGGATCAGCAATCTTGCCTTTCTCCCACTGTGGTCGCCAATTTGTTGATGTATTTTTTCAACAAACAAAAAGTAAAATCCGAAAATAGGAAATTATTTTTGAACTTGATATATTTAGCATCTGAGATTAGAAATATCTAAACACTATACGGTACAGAAAATTAACTGGAAATTAAAATGCTGGAAATTTAAAGTGGTGATCCCCGAATCTGACTTTGCTTTTGTTGAAGTTGATTGAAGATAACCTGTGAGTTGCAAATTTTAATCCTTAAATACTCTTCAGAAACGGTACTGGAAACCGTCGCCTGAACGGTTACAACGTTTTTTTTTTTCAACCGTCTGCTAACCCATCTCATGCTTACACGTGCCCTCAGCCGACCAAATTATCATTCTCACTCACTCTCAACAGTATCCAACTCTCTGGGCCGACCGCAGACCTTCCGCCCTTTTGGCCAGAACGCAACTCTTCCGCCCTTTTTGGACCGACTGCAGTCCTTCCGCCTTGTTGGTCCGACTACAAACCTCCCGACTTCCAGACCACCCGACTTGTTGGTCTAGCCGCAAACCTCCCGACTTACAAACCATCCGACTTGTTGGTCCAACCGCAAACCTCCCGACTTACAGACCATCCGACTTGTTGGTCCAGCCGCAAACCTCCCGACTTACAAACCATCCGACTTGTTGGTCCAGCCGCAAACCTCCCGACTAGCTCGATCACCTCAATCGTTAAGCCCATTTTTCTTTCATCTTGGGCTTTTTAACCTAATTCTAAATTTCATACGTAACAATTTTATTACACATTCATTGTTAATTCGTTAAAAGTTCAAGAAATTAAAGAAAATATGCTTATATAATATATTGTAGCAATGATTGCCTGCTGCGAAATACATTTGTATTTTTGAATATTTTTCTTTATAAGAAATTATTTTTCCGAAATAAATTTAATAATTTATAAGATCCGTGCAAGGCACGATCAACACACTAGTATCTTTATATACAAAAACCAGCATGGCAGTCTTAACTTCTTTTTAGTTTAACTTTTATATTTCTACATGTGAGTCTTGTATCAAGAAGTTCCAAACAGGTTCACTATTTTGTTCAAGGAATTAGCTTGTAAGGAAGAATACTTTTTAAACATTGTTGTATTAGAAGGCATATAGTATAGTACCGAATAAGGAACATAAATAATTAGGATGTACCGAGTAAATCTCCCAATCAAGAAGATAGAATTCCGTGCAGTTGCGCGGATTTAATGTATGGTGGCTGGAGTAAATGTACCCAGCAGTAATAAATGCAATCGTTGCTTCGCTGACTTGTGCGCTCGCTCACAAATTCTATGTAGCAGCCCGAATTTCCGCGCTCATAAATGCAATCGCCGCTTGCTTTTTGTGCATGTCATTCTGCGCTCATTGTTTTTTGCATGGCCGTCGCTTATTTTCCGTGCAGCCACCGTTGCTTACTTCAATGTCAAATTTCCGCGCCAGCAATGACCGTTAATCATTGACTTCCGTGCGTTGTCTTTTGCGTTAACCATCGACTTTTGTTGACTTTCGCACCAACGGCTCTTTTTTGCTCTCGAAACCATTTTTTCGCTTTTTGAGACCAAATTTGAACTCCCAAATTAGTTTTCAATCATTTCACCTGTATAAATAATAAATACTTTATAAATATCTATTTAAATAAATATATTTAATAAAATTAATTTAGCTAAAATTAAATACTTAAATAACACAAATAATGCCAAAAAAATATAATTTAAGGAACACATCAATTAATTTAATTTATACACCAAATAAATTATAAATTACACCTAAAAATTAATAAATTAATATTATACATACAATATGAAATAAATACAATTATTAGAATAAATTAATATAAATAATACTAAAATTCGACATAAATAATTAAATAAATATAAACTATAAAATATGACAAAATCAAGAGTTATCAATTATTGTTTGAGTCTTCAGAATACAACTTACGTGAGAGACGGAAGAAACATCTGCAAGCCTCAAGCAGCTCGTATGGATTCATGAAGGTGTATGCTCGCAAGAAGTATTAATCGATTGATTCCAAATTGTCCGCCTGTTTGTTTGTTCAATTTCGTAGCCTTGATTCTATGATTGAATTGAGATTAGAAGTCAGAGAATTGATCATATCCATATCATAAATTTGATATCAGAGCGGTTATCAATTGTTGCTTCGAGTTGTGATTACTATGTGTTTGATCATATGTCTCTATGTCTAGTTTGATCTAATCCATTTTTGATATAGCATTTGATCCAATTTGTTTTGAAAAATCTATTAAATCCAGTTCGTATTGAAGATTGTTGGAGATTGTTGAATTCGTGTTGATTGGAAATAAATGATAGTTGTTGAAAATAATTTTTTTGTTGTTGTAAATTTTTTCTCTCCGGTGGAAATGAACACTAATTCCAATTCATTGTTGTTAAATGTGAGTAGTGTTTTTACTCGAAAAAACACAATGAATAGTGTCAAATATTAAAGTAAAATTGAGTTTTGACCATATAAATGAGTTTTGGTGGTGGTCAGATAAATTGTCAAATATTGAAGTAGAATTTTATGATCATATTCTTAGATTTGGTTTCCGAATAGTTTACTTAATTCGTGGGAGGCATTTTTGGTTTCACACACTAAATCTACTCTTGATGGTGCAATGACTTTAAATTATACAAAAAGTGAGAAAATGATAAGGAAAATGTTCATCATTTTCACAAATAGAAGTTGCAAAGCATAAAATGAGACATAAAAATAAAAATGCTAACAATGGTGGGCAGAAGAGCATATCCTAATCTCTCTCTGTAAGAATATTAAGTGTTATTAACGTCATAAAAAAGGCTATATCCAGAAATGTTGGTTCATCCATCCTCTCGATTTTGGTAAAGAGACACAAAAACATAAGCACTAGAGTTGATTTCGAGCTTAATTTTACATGCAAAGTTACTCTACACCCTGAATTAATATCATCTTATTATAGACAGCAGATAATATATAATTCTAAAATTCTAATACATATATGTATGTATATTTATTATGACAAACCTAATATATTGCAAATTATACTCAACAAGGCAAGTCACACTTGACGGCCATCTCTTAACGTAACTAAATTTGAAGAGTGTTCTCACCAAACACCCATAAAGCCAATTGCCGGGGCCGAACAAACTACATACGTTAATGTTTCTAAAAAGCAAAGCCAAATAAATACCATAGCATATAATGAGTTCTCATTAAAACCCAAACCATACACAGCAGCAGTAATATCCATAAACCCTAAACCAACACGCTCCAAACTGCCATAGCCACCAAGTCCATCATCACACACACAAATAACAACTCAAATTACCAACCCCTACTACTACTTAAAATACCAACCATCAAACTCAAATGTCCTGCACTCGCTCTCTCTTTCTCTCTCCCTCCACATAATGGTAATGTGAGGTTTGCATTCCACAGCTGTATAAACTAGCTAGCTGATGATAACTGCACTGCCATTTCAACCCAATACACCCTTGTAATTTCTTCTTCTTCGTATCAATCACATGGTCGCCATCACCATCACCATCACCATCACCATAGCAGCTGTCATCCTTTCAAGGTTTACCAACCTACCACCGCCACTTTGATTCAATGCACACAAATAAATAGCACAAGCAGTTACTACACTATACTAGTTTCTCACAAATAAATTAAAAAAAAAAAAAAAAAATGCACCCAAGCACAATCAATATCTGAAAATGGGATTATGAATAACAAAACAAAAGATTCGAGACAACATACATACCTTAGAGTGCATCCCTTCACTTTTGTTTTTCTGTCAGAATCGGAGCAGCTCAGTCCCGCGCATGCCCCTGCGCACCAGTGCAGCCTTGCCGCCGCCCCATTCGCTGCACTGGATTTAGACAAGTTGATTGATTGCTATTCAGAATCTTCATAAATTTCACCTTCATCAGAAATCTCATCAAAAGCCCGCACATCCAGCTGATAGCGCAGAATCCCACCAATTCCTCCAAAGCCTCGGCAAAACTGAGATCCTTCTTGTGATTTGTTGGTAACAAATTCAAGTGTGCACCCAAATCGTCTATACTCATTGGCAAACCATTCAAGTAGTGACATCTTATCCTGTACTTCCAATTCAGAATTTGTAGCTTCATCCCTGAAGTTGCTCTGATTTGCTTCCTGCTCCTTGTTCAAGTGTTTTATGATAGTTTCACCAGTGGCAGCATCCTTCAGCACATATCGAGCCACGTCCAGATTTTCCCACACAATAAGAGTCTCCACAGCACCCATTTCAAGAACTTTCAATGTGTCCTCAACACCAAACACATATTTTCCCGTATCCTGGCTAATCTCCTCAAAGTACTTTCCAATCAAACGCTTCTCTTGAATAAATTTCACATTAGATAAGATTTCAGATGACAGTTCAATTGCCTGGTTGAAACCATTTTCACCACCATAAGAGACATCCACTACATTCAGAATTTTTGCCTGTAGACGAGGATCGAACATATCAGATTGACTGAGTTCTGTCTTGAAGTCAGCTGAACCAGCAAGTATGAGTCCAGCCACATTCGGTTGGCTTGTCTGTGGATTGATATAAAATTGAGTGGCAAGCTCTGCAGTTTTCCTCACATAGTTGTGACGCTTCTCCATACGCAGCCGAGCAAAACGCAAAGCAGATTGCCCTCCTCTTCCATGTTTCTTAGGGAGGTCCACAGTGAACTTGTGAAGAACCTCCCTAGTATTGCCACTCAGAGTCCCAAAAAGGGTTCCATTACCATCCATAACAATAAATCCAAACTTGTCATCAGATTCCAGAAGTTCATTGAGCGCCTCAGTGTGGAACTTGTTGTCACAGAGATAAAGTGACGCATTGATGGGCCTGAATGGCTCAAAATCAATTGTCACTTTCTTTTCCTTCCCATCCTCAGTAACAATGGTTCCAGTGTACAGCACCAGCCCATTTGTAGGGACTTTGCTGTACAATTTCAACCTCTGCTGAGCAGAAGTGATTGCAGAGAGAACAGATTGGCGGTTCACCCTGCTTTTGATGTTAGATGCAGTTCCATACTCATCTCCAAGCATCTTTGTAACACGAGATACTTGATCACGTGGAGGCATGATGAGAGAAATCATGCTAGTACCATTGCCTCGAGCAGCTTCCAGTGCCTTAATAAGCTTCTTGATTTTCCATATTTCAATATTCTTATCAGTTTCACGACCATCAGCCATTGCTTTTAATTGTAAGATAGAAGTTGCAGACAGTACTGAAAAAACACAAGAAGAAACATTCATTATGTAAAGGAAAATAATGTGATAATGCTATTACAGTATACAATTGAGGTGAAAATAATAAGTATCACCAACTAGTCTGTAAAATGGAAGAAGTAAGCAATATGATATCAAATGAGCACTTGAACTGATAGCTAATCACTTAGTTCTAGAATATCATTGCAAGTAGAATATCAATACAGAATCACAACAGATTAATTTGTACCAACCTAAATTGCACCTCATCAAGAATCCAAAGATATTGAAACACAGAATGGTATTCACACTAAAGGGATATCCATCACAGAAAAGCTATACTGATCCCACACATGCAAATTACCAAAAAATTCCCTAGTGCCCCCGCATGCCATGGCCATATATTTAGATAATTAAACAGACCCTTAACAAAGTATTGCTGTACAGCTCACAAAATATCCCCTAATGTCCCACATGCCATGCAATAGATTTAGATAATGAACGGATCCTTAACAAAGTATTGCTATGCAACAAATATAGAGGCGTCTTGGTTTAAAAAACAAACACAGACAGCTAATTTCTGATTTTAAGAAAAATAATAATAAGAATAATAAACAACAAAACAAAACAAAATACAAAACAAAACATATTAGTTTACCAAGTGCACTGTCACATAAATAAATTAAGTGAAACAAGCTAAAGAAAACCCAAATAGGCCAACAAATAGGCATATTCTTCGGCAAACGCTACTTCAAAAGCTAGAGCCAAAACAAACATAACAAATTTAAGACTTGCAGGTAAAGAGGCTGAGATCAAATGATTGTTCGGTACACATCAGATTAAAAACATTGTAGAGCCTCACTTGAAATCAATAATCGCTCAAAGAGAAAAGACCCAAATGCAAAATTACTCCAAGGTTTATAAAACCAAAAATCATATTGCAATTATTGAAATTTTTTCCAATTTTCCAACACCACCACCATCAGCAGCTAGTTGTGATTTGGAAGTCATATCCCAAAAATTCCAGCCGAAAATGGTTGTTAAAGCGATTAAAGTATAAACACAAAAGGACAATAAATTCTTCAAAATATTAAATAAATTTCTCTATGACGAAAAACAACATGGAGACGTCACAGTTGCTTAAATTTAATATTTCTTCTGGATTCACGCTTCCGATCAGGAAACCAAAAAAAAAAAAAAAAAACCCTCATCGGCAATCATACGAGTATAAGAAAGTTCATCGGACAATTTATTGACAAAATTCTATTTAAAGATACAAAGGAAAAACAAATAATCGATCGCACAGATAACATGCAATAATTTAGATAAATCGAACCGAATCAATAAAATATAGAGAGAGGAGGAGAGAGGAGAAGAAGAGAGAAATACCGAGGACGATGAGGGCAAATGGTCTAGCCACACACGCAGCAGCTGTTCTAGGAGAAAACGTAACCGACATAGGTGCATATATATATAGAGAGATGAATATATAGAGAGGTGTATTAAGGAACCCTAAGTCCAAGCAGAACCGTGTGCACAGGGATGTCAAATGGGGCGGATTAGCTCCGGATCCGCCCCGGATTCGTTTTTAATAGGGCGGGTTCGGGTCTAAATAATATATTTTGGAACGGGTTGTAGATTTAAAATTTTAAATCCGACTGGGTTCAGGGCGGATTACGGATTTTACTAAAAATCCGCCCCAATCCGGACCCAAATTCGAACTCGGATATTTTTTAAATTATTATAACTAATATATATGTACATTTATATAACAAAAATATATTATTTATTTACTTAAATAATTTTAAATATAAAATTCAATTAGTCAACTGCTCCAAATAATTTTTTTAAATTATTATACCTAATATATGTATTTTATATAATAAAAATATATTATTTATTTATTTATCTTATTTTTATGGATCAATATTTGATTGTTTTTAGATTTTTTTGACTTTTAATGTTATTTGTTTTAGTATTCGATTGTTAAAAAAATATTTATTATTATATATTTTTAAAAAAACGGGTTTACCGGGTTGGCCCCGAACCCGTGAGGCGAGTCCTGGGGCTGGATGGAAGCGGGACGGGACGGATCTCGGAGCCTAATATTTTCTAGCGGGGCGGGTTTCGGGGCCTGCAGAACCCTTCCCGAACCCGCCCCGTTGACATCCCTATGTGTGCACCTAAAAATCCGTGAGAGTTACTTTTCATTCTATCTGATTCATATAATAATTTATCAAAATTATACTCCATAAAATTTTGGTAAATCGTTTTTATTTTATTAAACACGTTTTTAGGTATGGTTGTTGTCGCTGGAATTTATCGAAATCGACAATAATTGGATTCTCAATTCTATTCAAAAAAAATATCCGAACTTGGCCTCACAACGAAAGTTAACGATTGTAATTGCACAGGAAAATTAAATTACTAAATTGAAAGAATCGGAAGAAACAGTGGAAACAAAAAAGAATTGGATTATAAAATGAATTAAAAAAACCATGAATTTAGAAAAAAAAAATAAGAAAAGCAAAAAAAAAAAAGCAAAAAAAGATAAAAAATTGAATCGTGTGTATTATTTTTTGGATGGATACCTCTTTTTCATATATTGGCTACCCTTGCTTTCGGGTTGGATTGTCAATCACCTCCGGAGGCTCAAAATATGTGGAAGTAACAAATACCCTCACAAAAATATTTGGGCAGAAAATTTGCCAAACTTTGAAGCCCAATATTTTTGTATGAGATTTCGGCAGTACCTTGGTCCGAGCTTCATATTGTTTCATCCCGCAGCGGCAGGGAGCTGGTCTGGGTGGTTTTAGGATCGGATTCATTGGGAAGTGCGGCGGTTGGGAGTAAAGCTTCTTGATTTTTTGAGTAAAATTCAACCACCTCGACCTTGAAGTTGTCTTCGTACTGTAAGGCTCGCTCCAAGTCTCGATCGTTGGTTATGATGTCGAGACTCACCTCTGAAATTCTATCATCTTTGAGAGCCCTAATCATATAATCATCATCCATATATTGAGCTTTTGGATCGTTCGGAGGAAGTTGTTCATCCGGGGCAACTTTGTTGTTCGAAATCACTCGTTTTGGCCTCCACTCTTGTCGGATCTGGCGTGGATGTCGCAAACCACTCTTGTCCAATACAATTTTATTTTGATATGTCCGTGTATGGCTTACTCGTAGCTCATTTCCTTGCTGCCCTATCTCCTTTTGATTGGAACTAGTTGTCTGGCGCCGACGTAGCTTTCTTTGTCTTCGCGTTTTCGTCTTCTTTTTCCTCCGGTCGCATGTCCGATGCTCATCCCTCGGGGGCTGCTTATAACGCCGCGTCGGATGAAAGATTATCACCATTCGGTCCACCGAGACCACCCTCCATGTCTTTCCATTTTTCTGAAAATGGATTTTTGCAAATGTATTGCTATGGTAACTCCGGTTTCCGTTGACCCTTGTTGGTCTGTCAAGATCTGGGGCTATTTTGTCCCGATTTGACAGAGTTGACCCTCTCGGAGTCGGCGGGTCTTTCCAGATCCTTTACGACACTGATGATGCTTCCAGAGGTAGCGAGGGTGGCAGATCTACATCCTTTATCGCCCTCGGATGTGGCGTCATCGTCGGGGCTGCTTTCCGAATAATTTTTAGAGCTGGATGTGCTTTCGGAGGTGGCAGGTCTGTCATCTGGGTAATATCCGAAGCCAGAAGTACTCTTGAAAGTGGCGGAGCTGTCCCTCGGGCAGCGTTTGGAGCTAAAAGTACTGCATGAGGTGGCGAAACTGTCCTCCAGGCAATATTTGGGGCTTGAGGTGCTCCCGGAGATGGCGGGACTATCCTCCGGGCAGTGTCCGGAGCTGGAAGTACTGCTGGAGGTGGTGGGGCCATCCTCCGGGCAGTGTTTGGAGCTGAAAGTACTGCCGGAGGTGGTGGGGCTATCCTTCGGGCAGTATTTGGAGCTAGAAGTATTGCCGGGGGTGTCGGAGTTGTCATTCGGGCAGAGTTTGGAGCTGGAAGTATTGCCGGAGGTAGCGGGGCTGTCCTCCGGGCAGTGTCTAGAGCTGGAAGTGCCACCGGATATACCTCTAAGGTCATCCGTGATGCCTTTGGCGTTGTATATGCTGCTAGAGGTGCCTCTCGAGTTATCTGTGGAGCTAGTGGTGCTTTTGGAGGAGTCGGAGCTGCCCCCCAAGTCATCCGTGGAGCTGGTGGTGCTTTCGGAGGAGTCGGAGCTGCCCCCAAGTCATCTGTGAAGCTGGTGGTGCTTTCGGAGGAGTCGGAGCTGCCCCTCAAGTCATCCGTGAAGCTGGTGGTTCTTTCGAATGAGTCAGAGCTGCCCCTCCCAAGTCATCTGTGGCGCCGCTAGAGCTGGAAAGTTCCCAAATGGTACCGAAACCCCCTGATTTGGAAATCTATAATCTTGGGGCTGCCCGTACACCGCGGGATAATTCATCCTATGGTATACTCCTTGCTCCCAATGCGGAGGCGGCGCCGATGAGGACGGTACATTTGATCCCCATGCCACTGCGACGGCCGAAGGTGCTGATTCCCAAGGTCCCAGAGGAGGTGGGGCTGCCCCCAGGGTACACTCGGAGGTGGTGCAGTTGCCTCCCAAGTAATTTTGGAGGCCGGAGAAATGGTTGGAGGTGTCGGGGCCATGTTCACCCATGCCCCCCAAGCATCGACGGCCGCTACTTATTTATTGTGATCCAAAATCGATGGATGGGTATCTGTTCCACCAAATAAAGGGTTAGAGTACCATTGAGAAGTTAGTGGCATTACCTCCGATGTTTCCTGAAGGACTCTAGAATGGCAGTTGCCCTGTAATAGCCTGCATGGAGGACGTCGCTGCTTCAGCTACGAGCTCATCCGGGGCACCCTTGTTGCTGGTCCTTTAAGTCGGTACGATTACGTTGCTGTACCAGAACATTTTCGAATGGGATCTGATGCTGCCCCAAATTCCACCTTTGACAGAGGATCGTTTCCGGCAGGTTCGGTGTTGGTCGTGAGAGCTTCTCCTTTGTGGATCTTTTGTCCTTCACCCATGCGAATTCATCGTGGATAATAAGCTTTAGTAAATCCATAAGGTACCAAGAAAGCTTCGGTGCCGACCTGTGGAATGCCGTTTGGATCTCTTCCTGGATCTGACCCTGTAAAACGCTAGTCGGAATTGTCACCATACTTTCCATACCTTCTGGAGCCGTAGAGTACTCACGCGTGAGATCTCTTTGGAAATATATGGCGCTAAATTTTTGCCGACGACTCGTTTTTCTTTCGACATGGAGGTGCTGTCCGGAGATGATATTTTGCGATTCCTTAATTATATGAAATGCGAGACTCGTCGGAGTCCCACTGGGTGTGCAATTTGTTATCGCTAAAATTTGTCAATGACGGCCCAACGAATTTAGGCCAGTCGAAATCGACAAGAATTGGATTCTCCTGCCTACTCAAAAAAGTATCTAGGCTTGGTCTCACAACAAAAGTTAACGATTGTAATTGCACGGGGAAATTAAACTAAATTGAAAGAATCGGAAGAAAGCAGTAGAAACAAAAAGGAATCGGATTATGAATGGATAATTAGAAAAATAACATGAATTTAGGAACAAAAATAAGAAAAGCAAAATATATAAAAACTGGATCGTGTGTATTATTTTTTGGATGGATCCCTTTTTTTCATATCTTGGCTCACCTTTAAATAACATTTGATGAGCCTTATCCGTAATATCCTCACTTTCCCCATTTTTGTTCCATCATTTTCTCCAATTTTCTATTTTATTTAGGAAAGTTCTTTGATCACTCCCATATTATCTCCCTCATCCATATTAAAAATGTCCTTATCCATACATAAATTGGGGTTGGATCTGGACTGTTTGGGCTGACTCATCTACTCCTTCGGGCTGGATTGTCAATCATCTCCGGAGACCTAAAATATGTGGGAGTAACAATAGTAAAACAAGCTAATTTTAATGTTTGGTAAATTAATGTTTTCAATTAACTTATTGAGTCCAAAAAACTAATTTTGAAAAAATTGTATATGCCCCACATTTCAAATTAGCTTTTTCATTTTCATTTTTATTATTTCTTATTTACCCTTAAAATTAATTAATTTTTCACATATATTAATATATTTTTTACTACACTATTTATTAATTATTTGGATATATTTTCTTCTAACATTTATAAATTTATGTTTGCAAATTTAAAATAATTATTTCTTTTATATGTCAATTTTCTCATTTATAAAATATTTCATTTTTTTAGAATAAAAATAATATAAAATTAATAATATTATTAATTCATTTATATAGTATTTTTATCACCTGATATTTTTATTAAAAATAAATATATTTATGTAAAATGAAATTTAATGTAAATATATATCAATTTAAAATTAATCTAATAAAACCACATATACTAAATTTGCATTAATTTTTAATGATGTATAAATTTGAATTAATTTTTTTCAAAATATTTTTTTAAAAAATAAATATCTTAAAATTTTTTTCCTAATTTTTAAAATTAATTGTAATAAAATTCTA